GGGGAGGGACATGGCCCTGCTGGGGTGGGCAGGTGGTCCAAAAGAGGCATCTCTCCAGAGAGTGGCCCATTAAGCCCCTAGAGGAAACCAGATTTAGAAAGTGGTCCCTGTGTGTGGTTACAATAGACTGTGCAGGGACAAAGAGGAAGGTCGCTCAAGGACAGAGTTCCCTGCTGGGACTGCACCAGCCCTTAGCCCTGCCTGCTCCATTATCCTCTCCCAACTCTCACAGACTGATGAAAGCTGAAATGTTCTACAAACTAACATCATCCAGCCGTCTACCTTAATACTAAGACATTCTAATAGTACTCAGGGAACCAGAGTGGAGAACCCAGACGCCTGCACTGTGTCTCTCCATCCCTCCCGGGCCCATCCCTTTCAGCCTCAGGTCCCAGCGTTGGTACCTCCTCTGCTGACTGCCTTCTGAGCAAGGCCTCCCACTCCCGCTTTGTCTTCTGTGTATCTCTCCCCTTCCGGTCGGCAGCTGCAGGGCCCAAGCTTCCCATTCCCTGGTGCCTCCTGCACCGACTCCATCGTAGGCACTCGGGACGATTAGCTGTGTGAATGGAGAAACCAAGGGCCTTTGAACAAATGGGCAGAAGTGGCTTTTTGCCTCCATTCAGAGTCCGGTTAACCTTGTTGCCGAGATGGGATGGGACCTTGGGCACACCAAAAGTACATCCCAGCCAGGGAGCTGCCTGGGAAGGATCGGTCCTGGTTTTCTTAGTTTTCTTCTAAAACGCTGGAAATGTGCCCAGCAGAGGCAGGGTGTTTCTGTGCCCATACCAGCCCGGCAGTGGATGACTTGGGGAGTAGAAGGAAACATGTAAAAGCTTCGACTCAGTCATGCTTCTTTCCCACCCACCGCTGGCTCTTTCAGATGTGTGTGTTTAAGTAAGTCTGATTGCACCTCAGGCCTGTGAAAACGGGAGGAAAGCACTGACTTCCATCTTAAGCCAGGAAAGAGCAGAGGGGTTAGAACTCGTTCTGTGGCAGCCTGAGCCTGGCTGGCCCCCGCTCTCCAGGCGCGGTCGCTGCTCCCGACTGGAGGGCGAGGCCGTGTGCTCTGCCCGCTCCCCGTGGTGCTCAGGCACAACGCGGAGGCCCCCAAACCAGTGAAGTGGGTGCCCCCCTGGGCACTCCCCGGATCCAGGAACAGGAAGAAAGGGTTAAGTTGTGCTTTGGAAAGCTGGGAGTTTGCATCTGTGCTCCTGCTCTGGTCAGACTCCTGTGGGGTTGTGAAGTTCCCATGACATGAACGTCCCCACATTTAACAGCGTGAGGGTCGCAGCCCACCCCTCACCCACACCTTCGCAGTGCGTGTGGTTTCTTTTCTTACGCTTTTATTGTGACTTTAGGTTCCTGATTATAAGAAACTCTTGACCTTTTTATTGTGACACAATTACATACCTCCCAGTTTTAGAATTACCCTTATTTCAGGAATTGGTCTGTTTTTGAGGGGCTGCTCCCTGATGTGGGCTGTCCAAGGCCTGAGACTTCGCATTTAGATGAGATACTGAGGAACTTGGACTGCTCAGCCGTGAACATTTCCCATTCCCTGTCTGTCCAGGCTCTAGAATGGATCCATGACAACGGGGAGTTCTACCTGTCCACGCACACCTCCACGGGCTCGAGCATCCAGCACACCCAGGAGCTGCTGAAGGAGCACGAGGAGTTCCAGATAACCGCCAAGGTGCGTGCAGACCTGCTGTGCGCGCCTGTCAGCGGCCTGCACGTCTGCGGGGGTTTTTCCAGAATCACCTCGAGCAGGGTACCCTGGGTAAATGAGGGAGTTCTCAAATAGAGCATTTCAGAAACACACGATGAAGCGAGAAGAGGGTGACCCACATGGATCGTTGGACATGAGTTTGTGATACTTCCTATCGCCGTTCACACGGCCCCTCAGTTCCCCTCATGTATCTGTGACTGCTGGTCCTTTGACTTCTGCAAGTACTTCCTGTCCCCTTCCTTTCCATTTCTCTCCTGAGCTCTTTCCTCGGGCGTTCTGAGTAGTTGCTGTTTTGTGAAGCACTGTTTGGTGTGCCAGCTGGACTTGTTGTGTGCTGTGGGTGTGTTCCTTCCGCCTGAGCTGGTGAAAATTGTTACAGTAGCATTGTGTGCTCAGCCTGTGTTCCCAGTAGGTTGTCCATAGGTTTTATAAAACTGAGGGGGTGGGGGGTGCATTTTCAGTTTTCTCCCCAAAATCAAAATACAACTAAATACACCTTTATGGCCGCTGCAGTATAGGTGAGTACAGGTTAATTTTTAAGCAAATATATAAGAGTCTACACATTGGCCTCAGAGGCCTCAGAATGCTCTGAGATTCCGTTTCCTTCTCAACCGGTGGTGTTTTTCCTTCTGTTTTTCAGAGTTTTTGAATAGACCTTTATTATAATACCTTCAGAAGTGCTGATATATTTTGATGATACATTTTGACTTTTTAGAAAAAACTAAAAATTCAAGAGCAGAAAATAGATGATCAACCTAAATAATATTTTTGGTTAAAAAGACGTATTCCTGTAAAGTAAAAAGATTGATTTCGTTGTGTGTGTGACCCTTCACTTGGCTTTGAAGACATATCAGAGAGGTATTTTTTAATCATTTGGGGTGAAGGCAGCTACTTTGTATTATGTTTATTTGTACTTTTTTGCGTTTTCTGTAACGATTTCGACTCCTCCTCCTATTCTTCCCAGTCTTCTGCTCCCAGCCCACCCTCCCTTCCTGGGCCCGAGCTCTAAGTCATGTCCTTTCACGCAGCATTGGGGTGCTGGGAGCCCTGGTCTCTGTTCTGGAAAAGCAGCTAGTCTAGTGGAGCCACAGAACCGACCACGGCAGGGCTGGTGAAGAGGCCGGGTGCTCTGTGGGCACCGTGAGCATTGGGGAGGGCAGGCTCAGGCGAGGACTGCCTCACCATGACAGCCGGGCCTTGGGCACCAAGAGGAGAGCCGGCCGGGCCTGCTTCTGCAGGTAAGGACCGAGTCTTCCTTCCTCCAGGTACAGCGCACCTCCAGCTGTGAAATCCTCATTTGCATTAAAAGTTGGATAGAAAATTAGTTATTTATGCGCGCTACACGACCTTTATTTGTTTCTCTGAATATCCTTTGGTTATGAATAAAGGTCTGTAGGAAATACTTAAGATAGCACCAAGCGGTAGATGTGAGTTTGTTCTTTTCTCTGGCTGAGCGTTTCAGCAGCGCTTCACTCTGCAGGCCGTTCACACACACCCAGGGGCGCCGTGCACAGGACAGGGTGAGTGTCCCGTCGGGAGCTGAGGAGCCTGGCAGCTTAGTTCCACCAATGGAGTGTAGGAGGATTTTTCCATTGTTCCTAACTTTCCTTTTCCTCAAATTTGGAGTATGGTCATTAGAAGAATGAGCAGTTACAATAACAGGCATTTTTTTTTGCCATTGTTTAAGCATCTAAAACCATAAGTGACATCTGACCTTTCTGTTTTGCAAATATGCAGAAGCTGTTTCTTTCATTGGATGTATTGATGAGAGGAACTGGTCTGTTTTGAATAACCACCTCTCACTTTTTTTCTTAGCAGCTTTTCCCCTTCAGTTTCTGCTTTCCTTTCATTTCATCAGAAAGTGCCTGCTTTGGTGCTTGGAGGTGTCCTTTAGCTTCTCCTGTTGACACTAGGCTACGTTCTTGTACCTTCTGTCACCCTGTCGCATGTCTTCCAAGAAATCGTTTTTCTTCTGTTATATAGAGACTCCTTCCTGTGACAGGCAGCCTTCCAGCCCAGTTGTTACCGCGATTAGCACTGTAAGGCTGGGTGTCAATGGACACAAAGCCTCCGTTCATTTCACTGAGACGCAACTCTGATCATTTGCAATGCAACTCAGCATTTAAAACACATTCTTAGAGTCAGGATCAGCCTATCGGTGTTACATGCTGGCAGTGGGTCTGTTCTGTGATGTGTGTAGACATGTACATAAATCTTCCTGAAATTTCTTGCTGTGTTTTGTTTTAATGCATTGTCTGTTTTATCTCCACTTCTCTGTCCCCGGCTCTCAGAACTCGACATAGTTTTCTTAACCCCTCCATGGTTTGTGCCTAAATGGTGGGACAGCACCACTCTTCTGTGCTTTCCAGCAGGTTAACATCTTGGCCCTTGGCAGTGAAATCTGACCGAGGCAACCTAACTTTTGGAAATCCTGCATTAGCCATATTAATCCTCTGTGATATTAAATTTATTAGTGCTCCTAATTTAATTCCTTTTGGAATTTACGCTTCCATATCGGAAACTTGAACTTCTTATTTCCTTGGTTTATAACTAGGCTTGTCTCACATCTTCAGAAAGGTCTCCTGCTGGCGACAAGCCAGAGGCTGCTTTAGCAGATCCTCTCCTTTCAGTCCACTCTGCTGGAGTCCATTCTCACAGGATGAAAGCCTTAGAAACTTGCTGACTTTTTCAATAAACAGCTTATGAATTCACAATATTGATTTTTTTCACAGAGATAATTAATGTTCCTTGAATTTTATTTTTCTTTCTTTTTTTTTTTTTTTTTTTTTGTTAAACCTCATGGGGGGATATTTTTTTCCTTTATTTTTTTTTTTTTTTTTTTTTTTGGTGGGGGGAGAAAAAGGGAGGAGGGAGGGGCAGAGAGAGAGAGAAACATTGATGTGAGAGAGACATATCGATTGGTTGCCTCCCATATGTGCCCCGATCTAGGCTGGGGATGGAACTTGCAACCCAGGTATATGCCCTTTACTGGAAATTGAACCTGAGACCCTTCAGTCCACAGGCTGACACACTAACCACTGAGAAACACTGGCCAGGGCTTATTTTCATATATTTTTGAAGTATATGTGTTCATGCTCTTAAGAGTAGCTACCATGCCCATTAAAGTTATAGGCATATACACACTTGCATAAGGAACCTAATATTTTTCTTAGTAAATATTGTGTGACTGTCCACTATGTGCCAGACACAGGGAGGTGCAGGAGATATTAGCAAGCAGAACAAGCACCCTGGCCCGTGGCGGTCACCTTCTAACAGAAGAGAGACAGACAGCAGTGTCATCAGTACACTGCATCCTGCGGGAAGGTGCTGCGGGCCGTCAGAAGCAGCAGTGCAGCGGGGAGGGCGGCTGGGCAGGGCGGGATGTGGAGAAGGTCTTTGGGGGAGCAAGGCCTTACAGGAGCCACGAGGTCATCTAGAACAGTGGTCGGCAGACTCATTAGTCCACAGAGCCAAATATCAACAGTACAACAATTGAAATTGCTTTTGAGAGCCAAATTTTTTAAACTTAAACTATATAGGTAGGTACATTGTTATTAACCTAATTAGGGTACTCCTAAGGCTTAGGAAGAGCCACACTCAAGGGGCCAAAGAGCCGCATGTGGCT